AAAAAAAAAAAAAAAAAAAAAAAAAAAGAGAGAGAGAGGAGCTATAAGTGTTGGAGGATTCTTGTTAAGGATGTAGTGGGACTCTCCCTAAAGGCGGCCAAGAACTTGGATGCAGACAAAGAGTGAGGTGGGCCTGAGCATTGGAATTTTAGAGCTCCGAGGCAAGTGGGATGCTCAGGGGCCCACATGTGTGGAGAACTATGGGAAATAGCCAGACTCCGTCCTTGACCAAACCTGAGTTGGGCCCAGCAGGATTCAAGCTGCTCTGAGTCCTGGTTCCACCAGGCCCTGACCTGGGCTCTGACCTTAATGGAGCAAAACCTCCCTCAGTCAGCCACACCTGTGAAATTCAAGGTTCTCGGCCCCTCCCTCGGGATCCTGTCCCCTGAGCCGCCTGAGCCACAAGTTCTACCAACCTGGTTTAGCCAGAAACCCCTCACGCCTGAGATTTCCTCACAGTGATTTTTCACCCACGGATCCCCACTCTGCTGCTTGGCTGCAAATCTTCACTCGTCCTTGTGGTATCTGAATTGATCGATCCCTCTGTCCTACTGCAGAGCCCCTCGCTGTGGTACTTCCTCTCTGCAAAAGGTGCCCGAATAACTTTACTCTTCATGACGTCAACAGTAGAAGATGAAGAACTTGGCCGGGTTTCGGGGGTGGAGGTTATCTCTATACTGATTTACTAAGATTGTTGCTAAGATGAGGACGCCGTTCCGGCCTGGTTGGGTAAGAGGCCTGTAGGAGACCCAGATCGGAGCTCTGTCAAGAAGAAAGCCGAGAGGACCCTAACTACAGTTCAGCCCAGGATGGAGTCCTGGGCAGGCCTCAGAATTCCTTCCCAGCAATGGCTGCCCATCAGAATCCAGGCCTCAGATACACCAGTGGGTGGTGGGTGGTACTGTCCACCATCTTATAGCCTCGCAGGTGATTCTGTCACGCCAAGGCCAAGAAACACTTTTGTAAACAAGTCTGATCACTCTATGTAGAACAGTTCTGAACAGTGACCTCCTCACCACAAGCCCCTGCCAGGAGAAAACATCGCTTCACCCTTGGGCTGGGGAAGAGAGCTGGTGGGAAGGGTTGGAGGAGGAGGAGCTCCCATGTTGGATCCTTCATGCTGCATTTCCCTTAAGGCTCAGTGTACACGAGAGCTGGGGTCCTGATTCTGGATGACAGAGGTGACTGCTCTCGGTGGGGTCTCCCTCGGGGTCTGCATCGTGAGCACAGGCGCACCCTCTCCTCAGCCAGAGGGGGCCGGGCTCACGCCATAGCACATCGGTCTCCAAAAGCCTGGAACAGCGAGGTCCCCCTGTTTTACATAAAGTGCGGGACAGGGGGTGTTTCACTGCCTCCCCGTCCCCCAGGTCTGTTTCCCCCGTATCTCTCCCACATAATCAGCAAAGATGGGAACATGCGCGTGACAAGAAACAGAAGACATTTGCTGTGTGTCACCTCTGCCTGAGCTCTGTCCTGTGATCAGGGGAGCAAACAAGAAACCGTGGCAACCCACGTGTTACAGAAAGACAAACAGAACCTTGAAGTCCTGAGGACGCGTGGCTGGGAAGTGCTGCGTCTTCCCCCTCGGGACTTGTTCCGAGATGAGATACCATCCTTTGCTTCCCGGGGAACAGGGGACAGGTGTCTGTGACCTCAGGCCCCACGACACCAGGGCACGTCGCTGAGGGCAGAGATAGCTGGCAGAGTCACTAATGAAAAGAAGCAGATGTGCACCTGCAGGAGAGATCTTATGTCCTGGGGGTCCCCTCCCTCTGAGGAAGGATGGAATAAGTACTTGAAGTAAAAGCAAGTCCGAAAAACATGGCCTCAGAACATGGTTCATCTTTGCAAGTAGACAAAGTCTTAGTAAAGGAAAGGATCCAACGTGGCCGAAGCCTCCTGGGCCAGATGCTGGAGAGGACGCTGTACCTTTAGACACTGCTGGGTGGACGCAGCCTCTGTGTCGTGACCCAGGGTGTCGTGTGGGAGCGGCTTTGTGATTGGGTGAGTGTCCCCTGATTAACAGCATTAAATGTCATTTGTGAATTTTTTGCCTTTTTTTTTTTGGTAGCCTGAAAACCTATTATACTACAGTCAAGACGAGGAGTCCAAAATAATGATCAGTGACTTCGGATTGTCAAAAATGGAAGGCAAAGGAGATGTGATGTCCACAGCCTGTGGGACCCCGGGCTATGTTGGTAAGAACCGTGCACCTGCATGGGCGTGTGTGTGTGGGGTGTGGGGGGGTGTGGGTGTGTGGGTGTGTGGGTGTGTGTTGTGTGTATCAAGACGATTCCATCAGTTTTCTCAAGCATTTGATCCTGGCGCATGATCACCGCTGCCTTCATTTCTCTTGAGGGAAGAATAAAAATATTGAGAGGCCCTGGAACAAGTTAGCAGGGAAGTGATTTCCCCAGAAACCTTTTAACGATTGGGCAGAAATCTTGTTTGATTTGGTTGTGGCCCTGACTGGAGGTTGAGAGTTCATTTGGATGAATCCCCAGATTCTAATACAAGAAATATTGTGTGTATCTGCTTCTGAATGATTTACAGTGCAGCTCTGAGATTATAATAAGATTCAGACACAATAAAACATTGAAAGTGTCGAGATAGAGGCGGGTGGGGGAAAATACTGCTGTGAGGTAACTGCCTCAAACCGTGACAGTCATTTTTTTGATTCAGCTGAACCTGATCTGACCTGACAGAGCTAAGAATTGATAAAGCTTTTCCTAAAATCTGAACCCCAGATTCTTTACGCTGCATAGAGAAGGTACTGACGGATCTGAACACGTGGATACTGAGGTTTGTCATCTGCTGTCTGAGAACTGTGTTAGTTGGCTTTCTATTACTGTAACAAATAACCAGGGGTCATAGCTTACAGAGAAGAAAGGTTCATTTTGGCTCACCGTTTTCGAAGTTTCAGTCCATGGTCAGTTGACCCCATTGCTGTGGGGCCTGTGGTGAGGGAGTGCATTGTGGTGAGAGCACATCACAGAACCATTCACCTCGAGGCTGTGGCATGCAAGGGGGAGGAAGGGAAAGGGGCCGGGTTCTGACACCCCACAAGGGTGTGGCCCAGTGACCAGAAGACTGTCTGCTAGGCTGCGGCTCTACAGTGTGCCCCCAACCTCCAGTGGCCCTGAGGGCTGGGACTGAGCCTTGGGACACTTACCTAAGCCTCAGCAGGAGTTTCCCGGGTGTCCCTGCCCTCAGCAGGTGTAGAGGAAGTGCCTGCTGTCTCCGGCGCTGTCCTGGACACGAGGTAAGACAGCACATGAGACAGGCGCAGCCCTGGCCCTAGAGGAGCTCTGGTTGGACCAAAAGACCGCAACAGAGGAACCAGTCAGTGAGTGGGGCCTTTTCAGATCATAAGTGCTCTGAGGAAACGAAACTGGGGACATTAAATACAGTGACAAACCACAAGGACTGGGCAGCGAGGACCAGGAGGAGACGGGCGGTTTCTTAAATTTCTTTTCTTTCCTTTTTCTATTTCCTATTTGCATGAAGCATGAAGATCGTATCCTGAGCTTTCACACTGAGCTGTGTCCTCCGCCCTTTTTTATTTTAAGTTGCTAAGTTGCCCAGGTTGTGCTCGAACGTGCAGTGCTCCTGCCTCAGCCTCCCGGAGTGCTGGGGTTGCAGGTATGGGCCACCACACCTTGGGGCTTGATGTCCCTGGGTTCCTAAGGGGCTGAGGGTCCGGTCCTGTTTGTCACTGTGTCCAGCATTGATGAGTCCAGGGGCAGTGGTTGGAAGTGACCCTGCTCAAAAGGGCAGCTCCGAGCGCGGGGTACCTTGCAGAACCTTCCCCTGCTGGACTGAGTGCTGTGAAGAGGACGCACTTCTGCACCGAGAGGGGGCCGCGCGCAAGAAACGGGGTGTCTCTGGGGACTCCCCGGGCGGTTGTGCCCTGAGCCGGGGCGATCTGCTTCCCACACCGCGTGACGAGCTTCTGTTCTGCCATCCAGCCCAGGGCTGCCCCGTCTCCTCGCTTTCTGAATGCCTGGTCCCCTCACTCCTCTTCCCTTGGCCTTTTCTGCAGTGTGACGGTCTGACTGGGACCAGGAGGATCCGTGTTTCTCTGAATCTCACCCTGCTGCACTGCGGGTTTTCCCCAAGCGGGGATTGATCTTCTTCATCTTTGCAAGATGCGTAATCAATTCTATGAAAGCTTAAGGCTCATGAGTATCAGCGACCGTTTCTCTCCTTTTGTGTGCATTCATCGTGCGTTTATCGGACTCCTCCTGTGCACTGTGTTGTGTTTGGTATTTGGATACAAACGGGAATAAAGCATAGTTTCCTCCTTTAAAATGTTCCCAGTGTTGTGAGAGACGGGGGAGAACAGGTAGATCTAATAAAGTAGTATGGGAGCTGCTATATTATTGCTGCATTCGAGAATCATTTGTTTGGTGCCTACTTTCTGAGGCCCGAAGGATGTATCAGCAGCAGAAGAAAAAACAGACAGGGATTTTCATCTTCATTTGAGTGGGAGGAGCATAAACTATTACAAATAACCCGGTGGATTCATCTGTGCGTCAGGCGGCAGGAAGCACTAGGGACAAAGAAAGGTGTGCACTCTGAGAGCACAGCGTCAAGTGCGGTAAATCAGACACACAGGCTTCAACATCGCAGGTGTCTCTTCTCCGGGAAGCCCAAATTGTAATATAAACGACAGATAACAGAAAGTAAGGAGGTAGATCTTTTATAAACGGGAATGGGGTCACGAGATATGGACAGAGGAGTGAGGGGAGGGGAAGGGGATGAGAAAAGGGTTAAGACGTGCTGTGTCCGTGGACCACACGAGAAAGGTTAGCGTCCCGTACTAGGGAGAGAAATCAAGCAGCAAAGAGAATGCCAGGGGTGATCAGGCAGCCCTCGCAGTAAGGGTGGTTGGGGTACAGACTTGGTAGCTATGAGGGCCCTGGCTGTGCAGTTTCTGGAGCGAGCACAGCACAGAGACCCCGAGGCAGGAGCATGTGAGCAAAACAGAAAGGGACAGCGTGAGCAGAGGAAGGGTCGGAGCAGAAGGCAGGACCAGGGACGTGCTGGGCAGGGGGGACGCGGACAGGATTTAGAAATCATTGTGAAGCTGAGCGTGGTGGCGCGGGCCTACAGACCTCCTCTGGGAGGCTGAGACAGGAGGGTTGTAAATTTGAGCCTAGCCTGGGCAACTTAACAAGACCCTGACTCAAGATCGAAAGAAGGAGCGAAGGACTTAGCTCAGTGTGAAGGCCTTAGGTTTGATCCCCAGAGCCACAAGGGGGTGCTGTAAAGGCCCGAGATTTACTTGAGGTGATACAAAGCCGATTTCTGACAGGTCCCCTGTGGTGCAGACGGAGGTGGTGCAGATGGCAGGGAGGGAAGGCTGGAGTGGGAGAAGGGAGGCCAGTCAGAGGCGCTGGCCTCAATCCGATGAGCAATAGCAGCGTGGCCTTGGTCCTGGTTGGTGAGATTCCAAATCTGTTCCCAAGGCAGCGGCATCGAGGTTCTCGGGGAAACTGAAAGTCGTGCTGGGGAGAAGAGAGAAGTCGAAGGTGTTTCCCAGGTTCTCTGACTACAGCCCCGGAAGGGCACCGTTGCCTGTCATGTCATGAGGCGGAAAAGCCTGCACTGAGCAGGGCCAGAAGCTTGCGAGGAGGGAGTCTGGCTTCGATTTGCTTGTTTGCTGGCTCGCAACATTCTGGGCCCGACATTTTTGTTAACATGCAGTGTATTACCCTGGTTTCTGTGTGCTTCGGCATGATAGATCCTGCTGACTCCCTGCGCGGCCTCCAGCACCGTAACTCAGCGCGACCGAAGTGTACGCAGCAGACGTATTTTCCGCGGAAGGCCACAGCGCAGCCTCTGGTGCACGGAGTCTTCAGCACCCTGGCTGCGCCTGACCTGGCGTAATGTCTTCAGGTTTAGAAGTAAATGTGTGGATTAGCGTGACTCAGACCGCCCTTTCCCTCACGGCAGTCTGCAGCCTTACAGCTGTAGGAGGAAGCGTTGTTTTCCACGTGTGATCCGATCTATCGCTTATCATTACAGTTATCGGAATGACTAGCCAAATAGTTAATTTCGCCAGCATCCAGTTTTTACTTCGCTTTTTTTCAAGGTTTGTGCACTGTTTTTGACAATTACGTCTTTGAAGGCTTCAATTTAAAGGAGCTGTCTAATGATGGAGAGACAATGAAAAGAGGTTGTTTTCTCCAGGTACCCCAGCATATGGTGTCTTAGGAGAGGAAAACGGAAGTCTAACCACTTTGAACTCCATGCTACATAGTGGCTTCTTGGACGTCACCCTCTCTTAGGGTCTGTGGCCCCAGAGAGAGCGCCGCTGCACTCCCGGGCACTGTAGAGCTCTCTCCAGCTGCACCATCGAGTCTGAACTGCAGGCAGCTTAGAGGGCTTGGTGCTGTCAGCACCCAGAGGTAGGACCGAGAGGTTCCCTGTACGATGTACGGTTGCCCGTTTCATATATGACATAGCTGATGCCTTTCAGAAGCAACTTGACTTAAAGTACAGAGAGGAGAGGAATCGTCAGTGACTGGAGTGGCCAGCGGGACACTCTCGGAAGGAGTAGGAATGAAGGAGGGGCAGAGCTCAGACAAAGATAAGGAGAGTTACAGATGCAGCATGCAGGGGAGCCCAGGCGCCCAGGCCCTGAGCCATGATCTGCCTCTTGTAGCATCTGCAGAAGTGAGCGGATACATTGGCTCAGAGAAGAGGTGGGTGTCAATAAATACTTGCTAATAACTGAGGGGAAGAGAGGAGCCCTCAGGGTCACAGAGTGGCTGCCAGGATGACATTGATTTGGATTTGGAGCCCATTTAATTGAGCCAGTCAACACATTCCCTTGTCACCAATAAGAGGCAAAAGCCAGAGCTAAGAAATGTAGTACATTGCTTACTCTGCCCGCTCGATTGCATTAATTAAAATATCGAAATGGGCTCTCTTGAATCACTCAGCATCAGAAGTAAGGGACAGAAAGCATCCATTTCAAGCGGGTAATTGATAGAAGACCAGAGGCGACAAACACACTCCCATTTGGTCGAGAACAGCTTGTTAGTTTTTTCCTTAATGATGCCGTTTGCACACTGATGTTTGTGATTACTCAGAGTCTGTGACCAGAATCAGTCCTCCTGGTTGCAGAAGGAGAATTAAAAGCATTGCAAGAGAACTCAAACCTTTGTCTACAGATCAAGCAGCAAAATGT